AAAAACAACTAAGGACGGAGGCAAAGGAGGGAAAGGAAGGAGGAGGAGGGAGGGAGGGAGGGAGGGAAAGGGAGGGGGAGGGAAAGGGAAGGGAGAGGGAGGGAGGGAAAGGGAACACGGGACGGGAGAGGGAAGGGGGAGGGGAGGAGGAAAGGGACAGGAGAGGGAGGGAGGGAAAGGGACAGGGAGAGGGAGGGAGGGAGGGCAGGGAAAGGAGGGGAAGGGAGAGGGAGGGAGGGAAAGGGACAGGGAGAGGGAGAGGAGGGGAAGGGACAGGGGGGACAGGGAGAGGGAGGGAGGGAAGAGACGGAAGGGAGGGAGGGAAAGGACAGGGAGAGGGAGAGGAGGGACAGGGAGAGGGAGGGAAGGGAAGAAGGGAAGGGAGAGGAGGAAAGGGACAGGGAGAGGGAGGAGGCAGGGAGAGGGAGGGGGAAGGGAACAGGGAGAGGGAGAGAGGAAAGGGACAGGGAGAGGAGGAGGGAAAGGGAAGGAGAGGGAGGGAGGGAAAAGGACAGGGAGGAGGGAGCGAAAGATGGGATGGATGACGTGGAAAGAGAAGGGGGAGGAAAAGGGAAAGCGGAGATGAGAGAGAGGGAGAGGAGGAAAAGGAAGGAAGGGAGGAGAGAAGAGAAAAGAGGAGGGAAAAAAAGGATGGGGATAGGGAAAGAAGAGGAGGGAAAGGGAGGAATGGGAGGGAAGAACGCTTGGCTGGTTGGATGCCCACATGCCCCCCCTCCCCCCATTTCCCCCGCCACCAGCTGCCTTAATGAAGATATAAAAGGAGGAACTGCGTGAAGAGGGAGGGGAGAGAGAGAGGAGAAGAGGAGAAGGGAGGTGAAAGGAGAGGGGGGAGGAGAGGAGGAGAAAGAGAAGAAGGAAGAAAGAGGAGAAGGGAAGGAGTGGGAGAGGAAGAGAGAGGTGGGGAAGCAGAGGGGGAGGAGAGCGTGAGGTAGAGGGAGAGTAAAGAGGAAAGGTAAAGAAAAAAAGAAAGAGAGGTGGGAGAGGAAGAAATAACGAATAGGGACACAAGAACAAGAGAAAGAAAGGAGGAAAAAGGAGAAGAAAAAGGGAATGCAGGGACAGAAAAATGGACGAGAGAGAAGGAAAAGAAGGAAAAGGAGGAAGGAGGGGGGGGGGTGCGATAAGACCCCGGGGTAATGAGCCTCGCTGCCACTCTGGACCGAAGACTAATAAGTTATCTGGCGCCGATGGGGGGGAGGGGCGGCTGCAACCCAAGATGAACGCATCCATGCAAGCCGGGACGATAAGGATGACGGCGCCGATGACTATGACGATGGCAGCGACTATGATGATGATGATGATGATGATGATGATGATGATGATGATGATGACTTATGACGATGACAGCGACTATGGTGTATGATGATTGATGATGATGATGATGATGATGATGATGATGATGATGATGATGATGATTGATGATTGATGATGATGATGATGATGATGATGACTATGACGATGACGCCGACGAATACTACTATGGTGTTGGTGCTGCTAGTGCTACTTACTGATGATGGCGAAGCTGGTCAAGAGGGACGGAAGGAGAGAAGGAGAAATGAAATGAGATATGAAAAAAAGAAAAAAAAAAAAGGAAAAAAAGACAAGAGTAATCGAAAAGCTACCTTACTTTGTTGGTCGATTTCCCTGCCATGTGGATAACCCTTACCTGCAATGAAGAAAAAGTGAAAATTAACCATCTGCACAAAATATATACACAACATATTCCATATCATATCAACGCACACCACTCTTCTTTGTTTACCAACTAAAACTCAATTTCAAACAGCTGTGTCTAGTGCAATGTATACACAGACGAATACACACGACAAGCGCTACCGGCATATGAGTGGTAGACCTACACACAAAAATCATGCAAACTAAACATCCCCCTAAAAAATATATATTTCGAATACAACCACAAAATACCCCCCAAAAAAAAAAAAAAATAATAATAAAAATAAAAAAAAAAAAAATACACATAATGAAAAAAAAAAAAATAATAAATAAATAAAATACTGAATTATAACCACAAAATACCCCAAATTCATCGACACTAAACTATACCCAAAAACATCGCCAAAACACACGCACTCCAACCATCGCCCCCCCCCCCCCAAAAAAAAAAACTAAATTATGACCATAAACAACCCAAAAACTCAGAACCACCCTTAACACAATTTTCAACAATAGAGAAAAAAAAACACCGCCCATACCAAGGAAGCCCACATTCGCTCTCCCAACTCTAAGGGATAAAAAAAGTGGCACATCTTCCCATAGGAGGTCAAGAGGTCATCACTTAAGGGGGGGTGGGGGAGAGGTCAACAATCAAGGGTGTGCGTGCTGTTAAAGTAGTAGTTAGTGGAGGAGTGGGATGGGGGAGGGGGGTGAAGTGTTCGAAGGAGGAGGAGGAGGAGGGAGGGGACGAGGAGGAGAGGAGGAGAAGAGGGAGAGGGGAGGAGAGGGAGGAAGAGGAGGTGGAGGAGGGGGTGGAGGGAAGGGAGGAAGAAGAAGAAGAGTAAGAGAAAGAAGGACCATGGGTGAGAAAGGGAGAAGGCAGAGAGAGAAGGAAAATGAGGAAGAGAAGGAAGGAGCAAAGGGGAGTCAGAACAGATGCTAATTAGAGATACAAAAGAAGGTATTAAAATAATTTCGACAGAGAAAATATTACATTGGGCCAAATAATATCAGTCTTTATTCTTCGAGCAGATCATACCATGACTGCATTTGAAGAAAATTAGTACAGTAGAAGAATTTCTCTCTCTCTCTCTCTCTCTCTCTCTCTCTCTCTCTCTCTCTCTCTCTCTCTCTCTCTCTCTCTTCTCTCTCTCTCTCTCTCTCTCTCTCTTTCTTTTTTGACTACTACAGCTTCATCACTCTCTCTCCCACGCAGTAACGGCGCCACAGAGCAACAGGGAGAGTCCAACAGCAGACACAGCATAGAGACAGAAGAGAACAGCTGTAGCAGGCACAGTAGACAGGAAATATGCATCCGGAGGGCACAGCAGACAAAGGAGAGACAAGAAAACAACAACAGCAGACTCAGCTGACAGACGACTACCAACAACAACAGGCAAACCAGACGCAGAAGACCACCACAGCAGAGACAGGAGAGAACAGCAGCGGCAAAGACACGAATAACAACAGAAGAAACACAGAAGAGACAAGAACGTGCAGCAGCAGAGACAGGAGAGAACAGCAGCGGCAAAGACACGAATAACAACAGAAGAAACACAGAAGAGACAGAAGCGTGCAGACAGCAGAGACAGGAGAGAACAGCAGCGGCAAAGACACGAATAACAACAGAAGAAACGCAGAAGAGACAGAAGCGTGAGACAGCAGAGACAGAGAGAACAGCAGCGCAAAGACACGAATAACAACAGAAGAAACGCAGAAGAGACAGAAGCGTGAGACAGCAGAGACAGGAGAGAGAACAGCAGCGGCAAAGACACGAATAACAACAGAAGAAACGCAGAAGAGACAGAAGCGTGAGACAGCAGAGACAGGAGAGAACAGCAGCGGCAAAGACACGAATAAACAACAGAAGAAACGCAGAAGAGACAGAAGCGTGAGACAGCAGAGACAGGAGAGAGAACAGCAGCGGCAAAGACACGAATAACAACAGAAGAAACACAGAAGAGACAGAAGCGTGCAGCAGCAGAGACAGGAGAGAACAGCAGCGCAAAAGACACGAATAACAACAGAAGAAACGCAGAAGAGACAGAAGCGTGAGACAGCAGAGACAGGAGAGAACAAAAGCAGCGGCAAAAGACGGCGAATAAACAACAGAAGAAACACAGAAGAGACAGAAAGCGTGCAGCAAGCAGAGACAGGAGAGAACAGCAGCGGCAAAGACACGAATAACAACAGAAGAAACGCAGAAGAGACAGAAGCGTGAGACAGCAGAGACAGGAGAGAGAACAGCAGCGGCAAAGACACGAATAACAACAGAAGAAACCAGAGAGACAGAAGCTGAACAGCGAGACAGGAGAAGAGAACAGCAGCGGCAAAGACACGAATAACAACAGAAGAAAACACAGAAGAGACAGAAGCGTGAGCAGCAGAGACAGAGAGAGAACAGCAGCGCAAAGACACGAATAACAACAGAAGAAACACAGAAGAGACAGAAGCGTGCAGACAGCAGCAGACAGGAGAGAACAGCAGCGCAAAGACACGAATAACAACAGAAGAAACACAGAAGAGACAGAAGCGTGCAGCAGCAAGACAGGAGAGAACACAGCGGCAAAACCACGAATAACACAAAGAAACGCAGAAGAGAAAGAAAGCGTCAACAGCAGAGACGGAACAGCCAGCTGCAAAGACACGAAATAACAACAGAAGAAACACAGAAGAGACAAGAAGCGTGCAGCAGCAGAGACAGGAGAGAACAGCAGCGCAAAGACACAGAAAACACAAACTGAACACATAGCAAGAGACAGAAGCGTCCTCATACGCAGCAGCACGAGACAAACGCGACAAGAGACGCAGCCATGCCAGCAACAGACGACCGAAGTAACACAAACTAAAGAAACGCGCAGCAACACGAACACAGAGCCATACCTGAGACAGCAGAGACACGAGAAGAGCAACCTAAGCAGCGCAAAGAACTAACGAATAACAACAGTACAGCACAACGCAGACAGTAGACAGAAGCCGTGCACGACACCAGAGAAACAGCAGCAGAGCAGCCAAACAAGCCCACCGCAAAACACGAATAACAAGAGCGAAACACAGCAAAACAGAATGCGCTTGCAGCAGCAAGAGACAGAAGAGAACAGCAGCGCGCAAAGACACAAATAACAACAGAAG